AAATTAAGGCGCAGTTGCACCTTCATATAATGTTAGTGTTTGATTATCAATTAACACATTAGCATTTAAATTAAACTTATAAGTTTTTTATTGTAGATACCGATACTTATGCTATAAATGGATTATAAATAAAATATMAATATAAATAGAGTTAGTGTACACACACTTGTATGTATAATTTGTTCATAACATCGCGGCCACAATTCACCAGCCAATTTCAAGCAAACAATATAGTTGTTGAGGGAGCAGATCTGCATATCAATTGTTCTGCAATTGGAAATCCAACTCCAAACATCACTTGGGTGTTACTGAAAAACCAAGCCAAGGAAATAAAAAGCCAAGGAGTAGGTTTCGCTGACCTCGTTATCCAGAACATTACAAGACATCAAAATGGGACGTATCAGTGCCAGGCAACCAACAACCCAAATGATTATCCCGTGAAGACTAAAACACAAGTCACTGTATGGTGTAAGTATTCAAAGTGTTTGATTGTCGAATAATCTAATATGTGTTTCAATTCTGCCCTTGTTATCATAATTGATTCCAATTCCTGCACCTCAACTATGGAACAAATAGCTTTTCAAAAATTATGGTTTTTTTTTTCCATTCGTTATTTCCTTTTTCGTAGACATACCTAATATAACGTTTCTAAACTGGACTGTCGACGAAAAGACCATCCTATTTTGCCAAGCAAGTGGACACCCACGGCCCTTAATCAAGTGGTATTATGCTGATGGAACGCAAGTTGAATCTGGTGCCACAGAAATAACAAGCGGCAGCAGAATGGTTCTCAAAATACCAGATAGCAACTCTGGTTTATATGGAATGTACAAGTGTAACGCAACAAATGAAGTGGGCTAGAATGTGGGTTACCTCAACACTACCCGAATACGTAAGATATTTGTTAATGATTTGTATTAGTAGGTAAAAAAAGCAACACACAAACACCCTCAACATATCAATAATAAAAATTAAACTGGATTTCCATTAATTGCGAATACTAAGTAAAAGTAAAGGTCATTTGAATTCAATATTAGTGTTCCTTTTAGCAAGTAGTCACGGATCTGATGGAGCTAACGGTATTCTTACTTTATCCATTTTGAAATAATATAAAACTCATACCATACTATTTGCTATTTCAGACCTTCCAACAGCAAAAACAGCAACCGACAAAGGTGTTACAGTTACTTTGAAACGYGGTATCAAAAAAGAAGGTAGAATGAATTGGGCTATTCGTGTGATTTTACTTATCTTGTAAAGAATAGTATGTAAGCTACGCGTAATGCATGGTAGTAGCATTCTGGCACTACTAACCAATGTTAGTGATAAGTATGAGATGTACGAAATGTCAAGCAAAATAAAAGTGGATTTGTCAAATATCTTTTTGAACAATCATCAATGCAATATTTACTAAAGATCATGTTTTAAAATTTKGCAGATTTTCTACACAACAGTGCGCCATTTCACATCACATTTATTTCTTTTATGTGTTTGTGGATAATAAGGCAGAGGAAAAAGGAA